GCAGCCATTTTGGTGTGTCTAGGTGGTGCAAAAACTTGTCAAGAGGTTTTGTGACATGTCACCTTTCAGAGGCACTAGCTCATTTCCTGTTGGATCTAGGTCAGCAGTGTAAATGAGTGATTTGTAGGTCTCGAGGAGATGAAGAAGCCAGTTTTCATTCGATCTTTCTACGTCATTCCTACAAGGTGCCACAGCCATTTTAGTTTGTCTTCGTGTTGCAAAAATTGTCAAGAGGTTTTGTGACATGTCATCTTTAAGGGGCACTAACTCATTTCCTGTTGGATTTAGGTCAGTGGTGTAAATGAGTGATTTGTAGGTCTCGAGGAAATGAAGAAGCCAGTTTTCATTTGATCTTTCTACAGTATTCGTACAGGCCGCAGCAGCCATTTTACTGTGTCTATGTGGCACAAAAATTGTCAAGAGGTTTTGTGACATGTCACCTTTAACAGGGCAGAAAATCAAATCGTTCTTCGGCCGAGGTCCCTAATTAAAGCTGCAAGCAGCGATGAACAGGACCTCGGGCTCTCGCTGTTGGCCTCCAGCTCACGTAGACAGTGCAAATTATTTGTAACAGTCAAAATGTCGATAAAACAAGCAATGTCAAGAGAACGCAAGGTCATTTTTGGCAATAGAGGGACTTTATATTACAGTGCATTACAATATGTATTTATTTTTCAACCGATGTATTAACTAAAATGTACCTGTGATATGTCATCTATGGAAACAAAATGTCTTGTCCAAAACATCCACATTGAAATGAAATACACTGTTATGATTAACTAATCATATAATGTACCAGCAACATGGTGTCTGTCATACTGTTAAGAACTGAAGTGTTCCCCATGTACTGTAAAAAACAAAGGCCTGTGGTGACAGTACTCCTGCTGTGTTGTGTAACACATTGTGATGTAAGAACATGAATATATGAATACATAATATACATTTTAACAGGATAACAAATATTAACCCTATGGGCCCTAGGCGTTTTTGGGGTATTTTTTACTGCCGTTACTTTTAAGCTCATATCACAGTCATTATAAAGGCTACATACACATACTATATCTTGTTTTTTTCAGGACAATCTTGGCTATCCAGATTTGCCACCATTCCATGTCCTTCTATGTGCCTGTATTTTTTATTAATTTTTATATCAATGAAAAAAACAGATCTGTGTTACTAAATTCTTACATTTTTACATGTATCTCAGCATAGCAAGTTGGAAGTTGACATATTCTGCCATATATAAAGAGGGGAGACTCTCTGGAATCTGGCAATATAAGAACCATGATGGTGGGACATTCCTTAACTTCACAGCTGTCCAAAACATATTGGTTTGTGCCAGGCAGACATGATTGCCAGTATGTTTTCATTATTGGAAGAAATTCCATTGACTCATTCACAAGTCAAAAATGTGTTTTATCTCAAAGAAACATGCAATATTTACATCTAAGATAATAGAAAAATAGTCAACCAAGTGCAATGATGTCCTCCAAGATAATATTTGCGACTTTGTTTGCAGTAAACAAAGGTTTTTCAGTTTCACTTATATACTGGGGGGACATTTTGGGCATTGGAGTGGGGGGGTGGGGCATGTCCCCCTCAGTGTATATGGTGACTACGGCCCTGTCATGCATGCATAATTAGGCTACAGTTGTCTGTGTGTGCAAAGGTGAAGTGGCTGGTCTTGTCATACAAAGTTTGATGGAGTGTCAACTGGACAATATGGAGATGTTTGCATCTTGAAAGCCGGACTACAAATGTGGATAGACAGGCAGAAACACACGCAAGCCTAAGACGTGGTAAGATATGATATTCCTCACGATTGAGGTGATTGTAAAGAAATTCGTCAGGTTTTTATTTTGTAGACAATCAATCTGTATTTATAGCGTGATGGGATGACAGCACAATGATGTGTGTGGTATCACTGGAAAGCTCTGGTCCTGTGCTTTCATGTGATATGCGTGGCATTTCTGTGTGACCCTGCATTCGCGAGTAATTTAAGAGAAATGTGTGTGCAAAGCTGTATAAAAGCTCTGTTATACATCATTTTACTGTAATTTTATCATTCTTACGGGCTGCAGCAGCCATTTTACTGTGTCTGTGTGGCACAAAAATTGTCAAGAGGTTTTGTGACATGTCACCTTTAACAGGGCAGAAAATCAAAACCATTCGAATAATGACAAAATTGTTCAGAGGAATTGTTTAGCAGGGCATGTGTGAATGTTTGAAGTCAATACAATAAACGGTGTAGGAGGAACTATTTTTTTAGTAAGAGAATTTTTGAAAAATCTTACTTTGAAAGGGCAAATAGCTCACTTCCTGCTGGATTTAGGAGCGTGATTTGTAGGACTTGATGAGACGAACAAGCTAGTTTTGGTTTGGTCTTTCTACGTGATTCCTACGGGTCGCAGCGGGCATTTTCGTGTGTGTAGGTGGCACAAAAATCGTCATGAGGTTTTCTAAGACATCACCTGTAAGATGCCATAAAATCCAAACCATTTGAGTAATGACAAAGTTATACAGAATATCTGATTAGGACGAGTTGATCTGTCATGTGTGCAAGTTTGAAGCCGATACAATAAACGTTGTAGGAGGAGTTGATTTTTGAAGGAATTTTTAAAAAAGAGCATTTTTGAGGTGAAATCTTACGTTGAAAGGGAAATAGCTCACTTCCTGTTGGGTTTAGGTCAGAGGTGTCAGTGTGTGATTTGTAGGTCTCGATGAGACGAACAAGCCAGTTTTGGTTTGATCTTTTTACGTCATTCCTACAAGCCGCAGTGGCCATTTTAGTGTGCCTAAACTGCTAGGTGGCGCTAGAGAGACCATTTTTGCACTTTTCGGATTAATTTTTTATATTTCATAAAATTTTTCACCAGTCCTGATATTCGTGCCAATTTTGGTGAGTTTTGGAGCATGTTTAGGGGGTCAAATTCCAGTTTAAAGAGAGGGACAAAAACAATAGGGACTTCGTCCTTCAGCCGAGGTCCCTAATAAACGCATCAAAAACAAGAGGGTCCTCACCCTTCAGCCGAGGTCCCTAATAATAATAAACACACCAAAAACAAGAGGGTCCTCGCGCTTCAGCCGAGGTCCCTAGTAATAAACGCACCAAAAACAAGAGGGTCCTCGCCCTTTAGCCGAGGTCCCTAATAATAATGAACGTACCAGGAACAAGAGGGACTTCGTCCTTCGGCCGAGGTCCCTCATAAACGTACCAGGAACAAGAGGGACTTTGTCCTTCGTCTGAGGTCCCTAATAATAATAAACGCACCCAAAACAAGAGGGTCCCCGCCCATCAGCCGAGGTCCCTAATAAACGCACCAAAAACAATAGGGTCCTAACCCTTCAGCCAAGGTCCCTAATAATAATAAACGCACTAGAAACAAGAGGGACTTCGTCCTTCGGCTGAGGTCCCTAATAATAATAAACGTACCAGGAACAAGAGGGACTTCGTCCTTCGGCCTAGGTCCCTAATAAAGAATAATAAATGCATCAAAAACAAGAGGGCCTTCGTCCTTCGGTCGAGGTCCCTAAGTACGGGCACGTAGAACGACATGTAATGATGGCAAATCTGGATAGCCAAGATTGTCCTGAAAAAGCAAAACAAGATACAGCATGTGTATGTAGCCTTTATAATGACTGTGATATGAGCTTAAAAGTAAAGGCAGTAAAAATTCCCCAAAAAAGGCCTAGGGCCAAAAGGGTTAAAGCATGCAAACTAAACATTCTTAGGGCTTATTACAGCATTTGAAAACTGCACTCCATCAAATTATAATTAAATGAAAATAAAAAAAAACAATATTCATAGAGCCCTGATTCCATACCTCACTGTGTGTGTGTATGTGTGTGTGTGTGTGTGTGTGTGTGGTCACACACACCTGACAGTATAACATTTACCAAACTGAGCAGCTCATGTGGCTCATTCCTACAACTTCCCAAATAAATGCCTGATAGCAAAAACATGTAAATACAAGATCTCCAGGTCAAACTCGTTTGCCTCATTTAGAATTTGAATCAAAGCTGTAGCTACAGCTGTGCTGCAGCAGTACAGGATCTAATACATGTAGTCCTGCTCAGTTTTTCCACTGAAATTAACTATATATATTTGTGTCTGCCTGCTGTTACTTATATCCTCACAGCAGCCAGTACACATCAATGAAGCTTTCACTAGGTCACATGATTTCAAATGAATATGGATGGTGTGTGTATCCACAACTGTCATGGACACCAGTCAATACTGTAAGGTACAAGAATGTCATATCATATCAGTTAACTAAAATATATGATACATATACATTTTCCTTACCTGCTCTGTAGTTTCAAGTAGTTAACAAAGCTTGTAGCACAGACACATATAGCAAAAACAAATCAATTTTTGATGAAAGGCACTGTGAGATGAAGTTTTAATGAAGTTTATTATTGAAAGATTTATAATGAGTTAATGGTCAGAGGTGAGTTGGCAGCAAGAAAAGTAGAAGATTAACTTATTTTCACTCCGCCGTAAGAAACAAACCCAAAATACACACATGCAAATCAGGACCTATACATGTATTGTTGTTGCAGAGTTAGCAGAGTGATGGGCTGCATAGTCATGTACTGAGCAGTTGTGGGTTTGGTGCCTAGCTCAAGAGCACCTGGGCAGTGGGCACCTCTCTAGCTACCAGTCTACACTTTGTTTCCGAGTTGAACCCAACTCCCTCTAGTATCAAGACGAGTTCCTACAGACTGTGCTCTTGCCTCTCAAATGAGCTCAGTAAATTGAACATAGTTCTGCTCATACAGAGGACTGTACAGCAATCTTATTTTACATAGAATAAAATGTCCTGTGTCCAAACTGACACAGGACAGTTACCTGAGGGTGTCTCAAGTGAAAAGCAGTTCATCCTCTAGGGACCGACTTGTTAGATTCTGTTAGAAGCATCAGCAGTGTATGGGCCTCATTCTTTCTTTTTTTCCTGTTTATTTGAGATGACCATCCTTACAATGTTTCCCTTTTGTAGGTCTCTATAGCAGTAGGCCTGGCAGGGTTTGCCTGTGTGATGCTGGTGATTCTCTTCCTTCTCATCAACAAATATGGACGACGCTCCAAGTTTGGCATGAAAGGTAAGAAGCCAGTGTATCTTCCAATCTATTTATTCTGCCTTTAATCAGGCTCACAGCATGTGACGTTGCATCTTGAATGACGCTTAAAGTGTGACTGATATGAAGGTCAGTAGCAGTACTCAGTTTTACTTTCATGGATGGAAAAACTGGAACTGTGAGGTTTACTTATCTCTTTGTAGTATCCATACATTGATACATGGATTGGTAGACTGCATCATAGTATGAAGGAGTCAAAAGTGACAGGAAGGAAAGATTACAAAAGAATTAAGATGGAAATAAGTGCCTGATGAAGCTGTAAGCAAAACGCGTTGTTCTATTAAATTCTTGATCCTCTTTCAAAGTCCTGTCTTGTGTGAGGTATGTAGCCACAACATATGTGTTTTTTTCTTTACATGGAAATAAGTGAGTAAGGATAAAAGGAAGGATGTAGGGAGGGAAGGAGGCTGGTAAGGACAGTCATGGGCAGATGACAAAATTTATGTCAAGCTGACTCTTTCAACTTTGTGAACATGGAAAGCATGACTTAAGCTTAACAAAGAAGAAGAATCCAAAAGAACCAGAAAACTATAGGTAAGCCAGGTATGGAGCTGGGGTCACATGTTGCACATATGTATGAGCTCACGTCCTACAGAAGCTCAGAATAAAAGGCACTTTATTCAAACTTCATCATGGAGTAACTCCTTTGCCTCAGAGGAATACTCCAGCAATGTACTGCACTTCAATAAAATTGGGGGACAGATTTTCAAAATAATGGTTAGAACTAATGCAGCAGAAGCCAATACAGATATTATAGAAAAAAATACATTTGCCATGTTTTTGTCAGACGCTGTCAGACACTGCTTGTAAACAGCCAAAGATTTTAAACACCATGCCCACAGTGTGTATCACAGGCTCTTTGTTAGAAATGTGCAGTTTCCAAGCTTAAGCTGAGTTAGCCTTGATATCACAGCCATTAGGGTTATGTTGTCACACTGGGTATAGACCTTTATGTGTAAACTGGTGGAATGACATTCCCCTTAAGAGCCAGAAATAAAATGATGATGAGACACACACACACACACACACACACACACACCATACTTGTGTTGTTTTTAGAAAAGAAGATTGTAATTTGTAATTTAAAGATAGTAAAGGAATGATGAGCCACAAATGATTAGCAGCTATCATCTTTCTTTTTTTTTCTAAATGAAAAGATTTTGTTTTTGTAAACAGGTGAAAGTACTTTAACTGCTTTGACATGATTTACAAGATGCAGTTTAATTTTCTGTGCTACAGGAGATTTTCCTGCTGAAGAAAGGACATAATCCCCTATGTTGGAAGTGTATACCTAAGTACTACAATTATTATGAAGCCATAGACATGGTAGGGAGTATATATTTCCATACATTATTATGTTTATTATGACAATAAGGGGCCACAAGAAACGCCACTGTTGAAATATATGAAAGAGGCTATGTAAGCAGCTCCAATGGAAGATTAAAGCTGCAGCACAGAGCCACTCACACTGCCCTCCTCAGCTGATGGCTAGAGGTGAGTGTTTGCAGACTTTAAAACTTAGAGATGGTGAAAGTAAACTACCCACAGCATGCTCGTGTTTACCAACCTGACTGTTGTGTGATGACTCATACAGCAGATCTAAAAGGAATGAGAGAGGAAAAAGATTCAGGGCTGATGAGTGAAGTTCTCTTTGAAAGTAGCGGACAGTTTGGATTAACTTTGTCACTTTGTTTAGGTGGAAAATATTCCTTGCTACAGTTCAGACCATGGGCATTCACGACTACTGCATCTTAGTAGTCATCAGCTACTCCCACGGTAGTTGGCTGGTTGATTAATATTTTATTTTCACCCAATAACAATGATCAATTATTGTCCAAAATGTCTCAAATATCACCAGTTAAGGGTCAACTAATATAGGTGGGACCCACCTGGGGGTAGGTGAAATAGCAGAGTCCTTGATGGCTCTGAGAGTCTGTGTACAAAAAAGCCAAGATCTAATTGGACTAAAACCCAAGCAGGCAAGTCTAAGCAGGAGATACTGTTTGACTGCTGTAGCAAAGTGACTGCTTTCTTGTGGGGATAGTCTTACCTACTCTGAATACCTTAAATTCTCTTTATGTACATGGAGGAATGTAGAAAACAATTGTTTAAACAAATGTAAGAGTAGTGTAGGTCATTTTAAAAAAAAATAGCAGAGCCTGTGCATGTGTGTGTGTGTGTGTGTGGTCAGGTAAAGTACAGCCTTCCGGCTCAGCTCCCTCTTCACCACAATGGTCTGGTGCAATGCTTAGATCATTGCTGACACCTTATCATACTGCCTGTCCATCTCACACTCTATTTTACTCTCACTTGTGAAGAACACTATGAAATATTTCAACCCCTCTGCTTGGGGCACTAACTCAATCCCAACCCAGAGAGGACAATCTACCTTTTTCCGGCTGAGAACCATGGCCTCAGAATTAGAGGTACTGACACTCATCCTGACTGCTTCACCGCTCTGTTGCAAACTGCCCAAGCATGTGCTGGAGGTCATGATCTGATGGAGCCAACAGAACCACATCATCTGCAAGAGCAGAGATACAATTGACCTATGGCTAAGCGATGAGCCAATCACAGTGCGTATAGCCATTCCCATACACTCGGACATTCTCTCTTGATAACCTCTATCGCAGATTACAACAACGTTTGCATTTTTTACGTCATTGTAGAGTTCATGGTGTTGACAGCAAATTTATGTTAATATTTTATCAGGAAGTTGTAGAGAGCCTGATTAGGTATGGCATCACAGTCTGATTTGGCAACCTTTCTGTGCAGTTAAAGAATAAAGTGTTCCGTTTAATTTATACTGCATGGAAAATTATTGGTGTTAAAGAGCACTCATCCCTGCAGAGCATTTATGAACAGGCTATGCTGCGTCAGGCCATTAAGATTTCAAGCGACGCATCTCATGTTCTGTATACAAAGTACGAGCTTTTTCCCTCTGGTAGGCGGTTCAGAGTCCCTCGCTGCAGGTTAAATAGATATTAAAATTCATTCATCCCTGCATCTATCAAGCTTTTAAACAAGAGCAGATAATTCAATTCAATTCAATTCAATTTTATTTATAAAGCCCAATATCACAAATCACAATTTGCCTCACAGGGCTTTACAGCATACGACATCCCTCTGTCCTTAAGACCCTCACAGCGGATAAGGAAAAACTCCCCAAAAAAAACCCCTTTAACGGGGAAAAAAAACGGTAGAAACCTCAGGAAGAGCAACTGAGGAGGGATCCCTCTTCCAGGACGGACAGACATGCAATAGATGTCGTACAGAACAGATCAGCATAATAAATTAACAGTAATCCATATGACACAATGAGACAGAGAGAGAGAGAGAGAGAGAGAGAGAGAGAGAGAGAGAGAGAGAGATGCAGGTAATGACAGTAGCTTACAACAACATTATTGAAAGTAATAATATTATAGTTATAGTTCTGGCTACTGTGGTACAATATGTTGAAAGTATGTATTAATATCTGGCAGTATACATGTGTGACAATAGTCATATGTGTATAATAACAGTAGAAGTATGACTAATGACTAATGATGGCAGCAGCAGCAGGAGGCATCTGGCAGGACCACGGCAGCAGCACAACCACACACGTCACGCTGTCCAGGCACCGCTGCGATATGAGTTAATCTGAGAGACAGTGGAGCACAAAGGCTCCGGAGAAGAAGCCGAGTTAGTGACATCCAGAATGGCCGAGTTAGCAAGATGCAGTAATAGGATGAGAGTGAGAGAGAGAGAGAGAGAGAGAGAGAGAGAGAGAGAGAGGGAGAGAGAGGGAGCCCGGTGTATTATAGGGGGTCCTCCGGCAGACTAGGCCTAAGTCAGCCTAACTAGGGGCTGGTACAGGGCAAGCCTGAGCCAGCCCTAACTATAAGCTTTATCAAAGAGGAAAGTCTTAAGTCTAGTCTTAAATGTGGAGACGGTGTCTGCCTCCCGGACCGTAACAGGAAGATGATTCCACAGGAGAGGAGCCTGATAGCTGAAGGCTCTGGCTCCTGATCTACTTTTGGAGACTTTAGGGACCACGAGTAACCCTGCGTTCTCAGAGCGCAGTGTTCTGGTGGGATAATATGGCACTATGAGCTCTCTAAGATATGACGGAGCTTGACCATTTAGAGCTTTATAAGTTAACAGTAGGATTTTAAATTCAATTCTGGATTTTACAGGGAGCCAGTGCAGAGAAGCTAAAACAGGAGAAATATGATCTCGTTTCTTAGTTCCTGTTAGTACACGTGCTGCTGCATTCTGAATTAGCTGGAGAGTTTTTAAGGACTTACTAGAGCTACCTGATAATAGAGAGTTACAGTAATCCAGCCTTGAGGTAACAAAAGCGTGGACCAATTTTTCTGCATCTTTTCGGGTCAGGATAGGCCTAATTTTCGCAATATTACGCAGATGAAAAAATGCAGTCCGTGAGGTTTGCTTTAAATGAGAATTAAAAGACAAATCTTGATCAAATATTACTCCGAGGTTTCTTACGGTAGTGCTAGAGGCCAGAGCAATGCCATCTAGAGAAACTATGTCATCAGATAAAGAGTCTCTGAGTTGTTTGGGGCCAAGAACAATAACTTCAGTTTTGTCTGAATTTAACATCAGGAAATTGGTGCTCATCCAATTTTTTATGTCTTTAAGGCAGTTATGGAGTTTAGTTAATTGATTACTTTCTTCTGGCTTCATCGATAAATACAACTGTGTATCATCCGCATAACAATGGAAATTTATAGAGTGATTTCTAATGATGTTACCTAAAGGAAGCATATATAGAGTAAATAGGATTGGTCCGAGCACAGAACCTTGCGGAACTCCAAAACAAACTTTGGTACGTAAGGATGATTCATTACGAACGTCAACAAATTGAAAACGATCAGATAAATAAGATTTAAACCAGCTTAGTGCTGAACCTTTTAGGCCAATTAAGTGATCCAGTCTCTGCAGTAGAATTTGATGGTCAATTG